CCCGCCACCCCACAAATCCCCCCTTTGACGTTTTTGCTTTTTGCCCTCCATTTTTTTTGCGAGCGAAGCCGCAACAGGTACCCTTGTAAATGTGGGTTTTGTTTTAATCTACAGATGTATAACGTCTACTTGTGTTCGGAATAATTTTTTGAAAACCGGTTGTGACTATTGTGGCTGGGGCATGGATACATGAATTTTTTTGGGGAATGGATTTGTTACATTTGCTTTATTGCTCCTAAAAAGCAGAGCGCCTCCGCCCCCATGCTTCGTTTCGCTACTTTTGCACAGTTGGCTACCCTTGACTTAAATGGCTTTTTTTACCCTCATCACTAGTGGACGTTCAGTATGGTTATACCCTGCCGCGTTCAGTATGGTTATACCCTGCCGCGTTGATGGATCGCCCCCGCGACTTGCACCCTGCTCACGGCGTGCCGACATACCCAGTCGGAGTAGTGCAGGTATGATGTGTCGTACTCGTACGTAACTCATGTGACACACATGCTACACAAACACACATATACACACACACAAAGTCCGACGAAACAGTCTGTTACAGTCATGCTTTTTTTGAGTGTATAGCGAATATGACAACACACACACATGCGCATGCACAGTGGTTCATGCGGTGGATCTTTTTGTGGAGTTGAACGACGAGATGCATTTCACGCTCCAGAAAGTGAAACAGGTGGTTTGCAACTTTGCGTGGAGCACGAGCTGCGCTCAATCCGGCGTGGCGAAGTGAACACTCTCTCTGAAAGGTGGTTGTGCGCCGAGAGGTGCGTGGAGAGGTTGGCTGGATCAAGGGGCATCAGTTCGCGGTGTCTTGCTGGAGTAAGTTTTGCCTGTGCTCATTCTATATGGACAGATTCAAGCTACTGGAAATGGTTTCGACTTCAGGTGGAGCAGCAACATATACTTAGGCTGTAGATGTTTTTTACTGAAGAAAAAGTATGTTCTGATCCCCTGCTCTTATTGGCTGTAGATCTTTTACTGAAGGAAAAAAGGTAAGTATATTCTGACCCCCTGCTCTTCCTCTTTCCCCTCCTCTGTTGATCTCCGACCGTTTGCAGATCGCAGCTCCCCAGTCCGTCGTAAATCTGGAAGTACTCATCTTCTTGTCGAACATAAGAATTGTGAGGACTTCTCTTTCCCGCCCATTTGTTTAACCAAGCTGTTGAACGTTCGCTGATCGCGACTCCGGAGTTGTTCATTGATCTTGAATATCAGTCCCGTTATTTTTATTCTCATTTTTTTCCGAGTGGAGGTAACTTCATGTAGGTTTTGAAGGAGCAAAACAGTCGTCGGTCTCCGTTTGTTTTGCTGTTTATGCATCCGATAATTATGCTCACGAAGTCGTGTGTCCCCTATTTCGAACCTCCACCTGCTGGGAATTATAGACTCTCTATCACACTTGCGGTGCATCCCGTGCTACTCACACAGATGCGGCGCACTGCGCATTGCGCACATGGCGCGTGCACCCGGTGCGCCGCATGGGCAAAATTCGGGGTCAGCCCAAAGAAAAAAGAGGTTGGGGAGGGGGTGAAATTAAGTTCCCATGCCCAGCCAAAATTAGGACCGTGCAATTCTTTTTCAGGGCTGCGCTGCCCCGAAAACTGTGTGTTGTCATGTTTGCTGTATACAACTCCATGCTATCTTCAGTGTATCCGAGTCCTTTCAGAGGTCCGATACGGTCATGGATGAGGACACGTCTGTGGAACTGTTGCTTTCCTCTCATTACTTCCAGATATAGAAAAAACGACAGAACTGATAGTTGTGTTTCCTTGGTGCTTTTGCTATTTAAAAAAAAAAAAAAGAGAGAGAGAATGTCCATGACATGCTGAAAACCAAGAACGTGGAAACATGCAGTCGCTATTCGCGTGCACGAAAGACAAAAAAATTGAAAAAATATGGCGGTGTACCTTTCCATGTTCTGGCGAAAGATTCATTCTGAATTTGCACAAATTGGAGAGCAATCGAGTGAGGCCCTATTACAACTTACCTCCGGCCAGAATCCGTAGGGCCTCTCTCAACTACACGCGTCCGTTGTGGTGGCTCTGTCACACGAGGACTGCGAGTGAGCTCCAAGTCCAGCTGTAGTCTGGTGTGATGCAAGGGCCTCACTCGATTACACATGCACAAAAGACAGAAAATATGGCAGTGTATTTTTCCATGTTCTAGCGGAAGATTCATTCTCATTTTGCACATTTGGAAGATTCATTCTCATTTTGCACATTTGGAGAGTGGTGGAGTGAGGCCCACCACTCCACAAATGTGCAAAATGAGAAAGAATCTTCCACTAGAACATGGGAAGATCCACCGCCATATTTTTGTCTTTTGTGCATGTGGAGAGCAGTGGAGACAGGCCCTATCAGTAAACAGGCTGTAACTGTTTCCCAAATAAGACAAACAAATAAGAAAAACAAAAAGGAAAAGCAACGGGCCTATCGGGCTGAACAAAAAGCCCTCCATAGAGAATCCATAGTGTCTGTTGATACACGTGTTTTGTTCGGTCCGATAGTGTCAGGAGAATGGTGTTGTTGCACACCAGACAAATGCCTGTATCAACGGTACACACACACACACACACACACACACACACACGCACACACACACACACACACACACACACACACACACACACACACACACACACACACACACAC